GGGAGGAGAATCAACGCCACACGAGAATACACACCGCCCCACAGGAATCAACCACACCAGATCCACACAGATACACACACACACAGATGTTCTTTAGTTGCTCTTTTCTTACATGAATTTAATATATATATATTTGTCTCAAATCCTCCAAAATAAATTAAAAAAAACAAACTAATTAATGTGTACGTTCTCTGTACTATTACACTAACACTTAAACGTGTAATTTTTTTAGTGTTAGTGTTTTATAATCGCATTTCTTATTATAATCGTGTTTATTTGCTGTTTTTTTAAATCACTGCACATTATTATTTTGTGTATGTGGTGTATTTCTGAGTATATTCTGTTATTTGTAGGTTTTTCTTACCGTAGTTGCAGATTGCCCTCTCCAATATGGCCGCCAACAGCGACCACTGTGCGGTTGGGACGTGACGACGAGGATACGGAAATGACGCAAAGGCGCCGAGTCATTAAAACCAGACATTAGCGCGCGCTTACAGCTCAAACCCCCCGTCTGCGTGCTGCTCTGCTGCCAGCCGACAACAAAGACTCAACTTCTAGACACAGACTCCCTCTACCTCTCCTACTCGGTTATAACTCAAACTGCAGCCTCCTTTTTAACGGGAGTAACGCGAAAAGGCGACACAAAAAAAACTCTTCGTTACTACGCAGACTTAGAAACTCCATAGCAACCATGTTCGAAGCTCGCCTGGTCCAGGGTTCCATCCTGAAGAAGGTTCTGGAGGCTCTGAAGGATCTGATCACGGAAGCCTGCTGGGACGTCAGCTCGTCCGGTATCTCCCTGCAGAGCATGGACTCCTCTCACGTCTCCCTGGTGCAGCTCACCCTGAGGCACGACGGCTTCGACTCGTACCGCTGCGACAGAAACCTCGCCATGGGAGTCAACCTCAGCAGGTGGAGTTGAGAAACACTTTGCACCCTTTTTGTTTGTTCACGTTTGTGTTGTTGGGTCGTTGTTCTCGCATCTGCTGACTAACGCAGCTGGTTTGACAGGTTGAGTCTGACCGCAGCTAAAGTCGATGTTAAGATACTTTATAAATACTACCATACTGAAATACTGAAGGCGGGTTTATGCACATCGCAAACCTCTAATGTTGCGCAGTGTAACAATCATCTAACATCTTTTGTTAGCAGAAAGTTAGTAGCTTTCGTAATATCTGGTGGCCATCTTGGCGGAATTGCCCGGGCATGTCTCTCTCTCTCTTTCTCTTTTCTCTCTCTCTTTATTTCTCTCTCTCTTTCTCTACTGGACTCAGTTAACTCTTCACTGTCTGCGGTTCAAACGGAGCCGCTTGTCTACATGTTTTACTCATATATATAAATATATATTAGTCTGTTTTAAAAGTACAACTTCATGTTTTTTTGTTTTTTTTTTAAAGTTTAAATTACGGTTGGTGCTTTTTTGGAGCGACACTGTGACGTTACGTAGTGACGTCATTTGAGCGCCAAATTCTCCGCAGGGAGGGTTGGCGGGAATTGTTGTTTAACCCGGGAACTTCCACTTCCGTTTCACTGCCGCCTCTCTTTGTACGCCGGTGGTACTTATGGAGCTGTTAGTTTAATGTTGGAGTGCATACGTATTGTTTATACATCTTATTTTAATAAAACATTAAGTTTAGAGTTTGTTGTTAAACGTTTTAGCAAAGAAATCTAGAATTAAAATATATAAGACACTAATTTTACTGTGAATAAACTGATTAGTCCATGGGCTGAAATTAATGTTTAAGTCTCTTTATTAAGGTCTGTGCCTGAATGCTAAAGCTCAATGTGACATAATTTTTCATTTCATTAATTGTCGTCCAACACCAAAAGATATTAAAGCTCACATTAATATTAAATGTATAAAACAGGCAACACTTGCAGTTGAAATGAAAGACCTAAATAACTAATCCATCATTAAAATAGTTTATTACTTTTCTTTTAAGCTGTTTTTTAACTTTAGTGTATTTTAAAGGACTTTATGTGAATTTGACATTTTCTTTTGTAGTTGTAACACACTTATGATCGTGGTGTTTTTCCCCCCATACAGTATGTCAAAAATCCTGAAGTGTGCAGGAAACGAAGACATCATCACCCTCAGAGCAGAAGACAATGCAGACACACTCGCCCTGGTGTTTGAGACACTCAGTAAGTTTTTAAGTTATTTGTGTAAAAGCAAAAGGAAATAAACGTGACCGATACTGTTGTTGTTGTTGTTGTTGTTGTTTTCTAATGTGCTGACCTCTCCTCTCTTACGCCCACAGACCAGGAGAAGGTGTCAGATTATGAGATGAAGCTGATGGACCTGGATGTGGAGCAGCTGGGAATCCCAGTAAGTAATCTGTGACTTCGTCTTTTGGGTCCGACGTGCGTTCTCGTGCACACTCGTCCTGACCTTTTACCCGTCTGTCTCTCTCCAGGAGCAGGAGTACAGCTGCGTGGTGAAGATGCCCTCTGGGGAGTTTGCCCGCATCTGCCGCGACCTGTCCCAGATCGGTGACGCCGTCATGATCTCCTGCGCCAAGGACGGAGTCAAGTTCTCCGCCACAGGAGAGCTGGGAACAGGAAACGTCAAGCTGTCCCAGACCAGCAACGTGGACAAAGAGGACGAGGCGGTGAGTGTGAATGTTGACGGAGTTAAAATAAAAAGGTGGAGCCACGTGATAAATCTGTCCTATGTTGTCGTACCAGCTTTTATCTCGTCCAATAAATAAATTACAGTACAGAAATACCAAAGACATTTTTAAATATGTTTCTATTACATAGTTTGTCCACCAGGGAGCACTGACGCGGTTATAGATTACACAATATATTAACCGGTTGGTTTAAAAACTCAAATTTTGCCTCAAACATTCAGTATTTCGGTTGTAGTTCAGACTGAATAATTTTAGGTTTTTTGCAACCTGTCAATCACTTTAGCCGTGATTTAAGATGGTTCATTGCAACCAAACAGTTATTCAATGTTAAGTTAATCTTAAATCCTAATCAGTTTCAGCATCTTAACTGTTATATTTGCCCCTTTTTTTTTTTTTTTTGTCTTCTGAACTCATAATCTGAATGTTTTACGGGTTTGGACAAACAAACCGACTGTGGCTACTCAAAAATAAAGTTATTGGTGACCTAAAATGTTTGACCTTTGCCCTTCACTGTTTGTCTTCAGGTCACTATTGAGATGAATGAACCCGTCCAGCTGATCTTTGCCCTCAACTATCTGAACTTCTTCACCAAAGCCACGCCGCTGTCCAAGACCGTGACCCTCAGCATGTCCGCTGACATCCCCCTCGGTAAGTCCGTCGGCGCTTATCCTAAGTCTATATTCGGGTTCTCAACATGTTTAGACGCTGTGACTCTAACTTGACATTGTTTGTTTCTACAGTGGTGGAGTACAAGATTGCTGATATGGGACACGTCAAATATTACTTGGCACCGAAAATCGACGAAGAGGCTTCTTAGGTTGTTTATAACCGCCCAAAAATGGAGAATAGAGAAAAAGCAGGCGACTGGGACTTGTCCTGAGCGACTGAAGGGCTGAAGTGATCTCATGGTGGTCCCTGTTATTACTGATGTCTTCCTGTCTAATGAGATTCACAGCAGGAGGTGTTGTCAACTTATCAACAGTCAGCGTATGAATGGTGCCATCTGTGTGATGTGATGAAGCTTCAGTACTCTTCCTCTAAAGACCAGTTCAGAGCGGCTGGTTGTGGTCCAGACAGCCCCAGTGTAAATTTCAGCACTTGTTCGCTCCACTTTGGTGTCTGTCTCTCTATTTTTGCCCATTTTGGGAAAGCAGATTTCAATATCTATATATAGATATCCCATTCCTTGTTGTAGATAACACATTTGTAAATACTTCCTGTGGTTTCTCACTGTCAGATAACCCCAAATGTTTTTGTATTCATTGATTCAGTCCAAAATAAATCAAGTTGTTTCCAATAACCTTTTTGTTTCTCACGTCTGTGGACAAAAGCTGCTCATAGTTTCAGATGAAAGACACACGGTCTCTTCAAATAGTTTCCATTTGTAATTATTCTGATTTAATGTGAAGCCTGAAAAGTCCAACAAACTTTTTGAAGTCTTATTTTCAGCCTGTTTCTCTCCGAGTCTTTGATCACACATAAAACCCATAACCAATCTAATGGAGACACTTCCTCCAACAGTAAAGCTGCTGGGGAAAGGCCTCCTTTTAAAGTAACACTCAACAATGCATATTAGGTTGTTTGCTTAATGTTAACTCTTTATCTGAAAATAAACTGTTAATGTAGTGGATCAAAAAGCACAATATTACACTTGATATGTAGTTGGTAGTGACCTCAAGATTGTAGACAGTTGTTGCAGCAGTAACCACGTGTGACCACTAGGTGGTGCTCTTCTACTTTTGATTGTTCCTGTATGGAAGCGAGCAGATTATATTCATAGGTCACATTTGTGGAATCATTTATTCTGTGGACGTTTAAGTTTTCCCAAAAGGACGAAAAGTTTAATAAATCTAAATGGATCTGGATTAATTTGATTCTCCAAGCAGCAGTCAGTTACTCAGCATCGCACTGATAATCTCTTTATACCTGCAGGACGGCCAGAACCGAGAACCAAGGACAAATGTGCTTCATTGTGTCCGTTGAGAGTACGACTCACTCAGTTACCTCACTGAAGTCCTCAGAGCTGCTGGCAGCTTCAGAGCTTCAGGTCTGTTCTCATGCAGGTCACTGAGCTAAAACTGCATCAAGCTGCTGAATATTCAGAGAACTCACTCTGCCTGTCTGTCTGCAGCTGCCTGATGTTTACTGTGTTTGAGTTGGTAGTGTGGAGTCAGACAGTTTTAATCCTCACAAAGCTTTAATCCGACTGGCGGCCACATCTGACCTGCACTACTGTACAGATCATAATGACCTAGTGTGACAGGAGTTTCTCATTTAAGCTCCAGTGTGACAATTTAGTGGCATAGTGGTTTGGTTGCAGATTACAACCCCCTCACTACCCCGGTCCACGCCTGTAGGATCAACTATGGGTGATTAAAGCAGTGTTTTGGGATTTATTCTGTTCCGGGTTAGTGAGGTGGAGAAATAATACATTGTGCTCAGGTTCCTATTATATGTTATATCTCTTTTGTTTAACCTGTTCAATAACTGAAGTGTAAAACGGACGATGTAACGATGTATGTGGGTTTATGGTCAGGACCTGTTGCCAGGCAACCAGAGTCCAGAGGTCAGCTAATAGGTCAAAATCCAAACTGCGGTTACACTTTGGCTTTTTAAGGGATAAAAAAACAAGATACAACCCGTTAATTAGCTGTGGGGTAATAAAACTAATTACATTTACTCTAAACTGAGGTATATGTACTGGACTTTTTTTTTAATGCCTTCTACTTCTAAATATCCTGTTTCCCACCTTACTACATTTATCTGACAACTTTAGTTATTTATTACAAAACATACACAGAGTCTATGTAATGATGATGCTTCATTATAAATTAAAATACCCAACAGTGTAGGCGAACAAGTAC